TATATATATATATATATATATATATATATTGATATAAGTTCTTAAGAATTAAATAGGAAAAGAAAAATAAAATAAAAAGAAACGACGTCAAACGAAATGACAATAATGAAGTCAATGGAAGAAATTCAATTTGCAAAGAGGAAAAAAGAAAAGAGAAACATTAATATAATAAACAAAAGGAAAAATAAGATGGTAATTATTAAGAAGAGTTTACTTTCAGTCTTTGATATTGTTATTACTATTACTATTATTTTTGCTCTTGCCTCATCTGTTAACAGTTTTTTTTTTTTTTTTCGTAGTCGTTTCCGTTTCCCTTTTTTTTTTTTTCTTTTTTCTTTCTTTGTTCTTTATATTTTACTGATTATGGCTACCTTTTCTTTACTGTTGTTGTTATTATTATTATTATTGGTATTAGTATTGGTTGCTACTATTACCATTCTTCTTTACAGGCTCCTTTGTATTGCCTTTGTCATTGAACTCTTCCACTCTCAGAGATTACTATATATATATATATATATATACAGGGGGAGATATTCTCTTTTCTTTTTTCTTTTCTTTTTTCTTTTATTAGTGGGCGGCACGTTGTGTGTACGCCTGGAGGGAAACATGAAGAATGAACACGACTCCACGACGTCCTCTGCACTCGTCTCCACCCCGTCTGTTGTCTCCGACAGTGTGCAGGCGATGATAAAGGCCGCCGCCGAGTTCACAGATCTTCTCACGGACTCCACCGAACAACAACTGCGGTTGCGCACATCACTGAGTGCGTTGGTCGATGTTCTTCGCAGCGGCACCCGAACAGCCGCGCAGAAACAGGGAATGTACGGAGCTCAACGACTGGTCGTGGCGGGATCAGCGGAAAGTGGAAAAAGTACACTTGTGGAGTTGTTGCTAAAGTGCCCCCCATCACTCGCAGAGGTGGACACGATGGAAGATACCGATAATGATAGCAATGGAAGTGGACCCGCTGAGAAAATACCACCAGATCTTTTTGAACGTTTACCAACACGACCAAATGTAAACGGCGGTGCTGCTCTTCTTGCGAGTTCACCAATGGAACTTCCACCATTACATCCAAATGATACGTCTTGTCCTAATGAAGGAATAGATGATATTTCGGCTTCTGCTGTTGGTAATGGTGGTACACTAACAATGACACTCTCTAGTGCTGTTTCTGGTGGTGGTATTCTCTTCTCACCATCCTTCGTTCCAAATAATAATAACAATAATAATAACAATCATAATAATAATAATAATAATAATCATACACGGCGTGAGCGGAGTGCGACGTGGGAGACGGATGTAAGTATGGATCCGGATGAGACTGTGGGACTCAGTAATACACATTTACCATTCTTACGTGAACGTGGACGACGTAGACTTTGTCGGGCAGAGGATGAACCGCGAGGGAAACCATCCTTTAAATTTGTTACCGTCTCACCTTTTCCAGATTGTCGTTTATTACATTCTACAGAAAATGGAGTTCTTTCACCATCTGTGAATTCGGCATTACATCGTATGATTTCTATGCGACCAGGTTCTTTTGATACGACCATTGTGGATCGTATTCGAATGAGAAAGAATAGAATCATATCTAGATCTTCTGTAGGATTAAGAGATGAGATGATTCCTATTCAACAAATAGCAACTTCTACATTACCATATAATTCTACAATTTCTCATAGGACTAGAGAATTTTCACTACAAACGTTAACGGCGTCTGTAAGAACTAGAACTGATACTATGAAAGAAGTCCCAATAACACCTTGGTCATTACAAGAATGTAGTGGAGGAGTTATACGTAGTGAACGAGAAGGAATGACATCATATCAAGTTCCAGATACTTTATGTGGAGAATCTTTTATTTTTACAATTCCTGCAGAAGTAGTTGGTACTTCACGTATGGTAGATTGCATGGCTGAACTCTTTGGTCTATTTGCACTTCCTTTGCTACATAATGAAACAAATAATGATGTAGATGATCTCTCTTCAAGTCCAAAACCAAGTCAAAGTGAAGGAAAAGATACTGGAAGTACTGATAAGGATAATTATTATCATCATAGTAAGAATGATAAAAATGGTATTACGGATGGAAGAAGTATATGTCAATTAATAGCAGATTTAACTTTATTTGTATTAACCTTTTCCGATGCTATTATTACCCGTGCAGAAGGAGTCATGACATTAGATGAAGAACTTATGAAACGTCCTCCTCCAATGGCACGTACATTACCCGAACTTGTGACTTTATTTCAAAAGGAAGTTGAGAAAATTTACGGTATTTCTGTAGCTTCTTGGCAAGTAATTCCATTTAGTGGAAGTATGAGTCACGTTACACATGATGTACTTCAATCCTTTTTTGATCTTCGAGTAATTCCACCAGTTGTACAAGAAACAGAAACGGTAGATACCGATTTATTATCTTCTTCTACCAATACACTGTTAGGTCCATCTAGTTCTTCCAGTACTTTTATGATCCCACCAGCAGCGGGTGGTGGGTCATTGATATCTTTGCGTAGAGCCATATCTAAATACTGTGATGTGGTATTTGGAGAACATTTTAATACTCGTAAGTCTGTACTTTCAGAGGAACAATTAGAAAAGATTGTTTGGCATCATGCTCTTACAAGTATGTGGGAAGATTCTGGGGCTGAGCAACTCTTTAATGCAGTGAAATATTTTGAAAGTAATTATTTAGAAAACTTTTTTGCCCATGCTGCGGTTTCTCTTGTCGTTTGGTGTCAACAGTTAAAAATGGTATTACCACAAGCAAGAAAATTTGTTCGAAGACGTCTGAAAACGTGTAGACGTGAACTTCAATATATGAAGAAACAGAGTGATGCAAGAGTATTAAGTATTACACGAATAAAGAAAGAAATTATTCCAAGAGATATATCACGTGGAATTCAATCTCAATTTCAAGAAAAATTTGAAGAACTTACAGTTCGTTTTTGGTGGACTTTATTCGATATTATAGAAACAGAAAATGAACGTTGTGGAGTCTGTCCTCGTACTTCTAAACGACATCCAGCATCTTCACTCTGTCATTCATCCTTACCAGCATGTACACAGGCACGGGAAAGATTACGAAAAGAATATCAGGCTTTTGTACATCTCTTTATTAACAAAAGCTATGAAGGACAAGTTTCTCATCTGCGAAGTATTATCACAGAAAAGAAACAGAAAAAAGATGGTCTATTGAATAGTAATGATGAAGTGAAAGGAAATGAACATGTAGACTCACATACTCCCAAAGCTTCAAAGACTTCAGATTTTCAGAGAAATGAAACGAAAAAACATCATATCCCTTTTGTTGAGCATAATGCAAGGAATTTTAAAGCAACTATGGAGAAGGAGTTAACTCTTCATTTATCACGTTTTAATACAGAAGTAATAAATTTATTCGTAGCGGAACTTGTAGCTGTTATGCCGGATTTTACAAGAATGTGTGAACGACAACGTAATTTAGTAGGACGTAAGTTACTTCGAATTTTTGCTTCTGTAGATTATTATAGAGGTTATGAATCTAGTGAGAAAAATCTACGTTCATTGTTAAAGACGTTTTCTCATTTATCTCTGGTTGAGTTAAGACCATCTTCAGAACTAGAGGTGTTTGTAACCGGTTTACGTGGTTCACTTTGTGAAGATCAGATTCTTCTTATTCTTAGAGATTTAACACAACATAATGAAACGCAAGAAACCTCTTATGCTTCAAGATCTTTGGCGTATCTGCGCAAGCAAGAAAAAGAAATTAATTCTGGAGAATTTCAATATAAAGAAGTTATGCATTCTGATGATCCAACTTTATTAGATGAAATACAAGATCTAGAAACAAGTTTCTGGGCACCATTGGATATGGGGGATATGAAACAACATTCCGCTAATTGGATGCGAAAAGCTGCATCTTTTGGCGTGGAACGAACAACAACTACTAGAATAATGGAAAAGAATACGAGATGCAGTAATGCGAGTATAGTTCAGTTTGGATTTTCTTCCGCTACCGTATCTTCTGAAGACACTGGAGCGAAAAAACAAAGACAGCAAGAAGAGCATGGGGAAGGGATTCTACCAAAACAGAAGGAAGAACGAGAAAATGTTATTATTGAGAGTCATATCATGTCAACGAACCCTCTTTGGTTTCTTCTTGCAGTCTGGAAAGAGACACTCTCTGCCATGTCATTTCATCCATGGGTTCTACTACGCAGTTTCCGATATGGTGGACTCTTGAACAATATTGTTTCTACTTTTGTTAAACAACAAGAACATCTTGTGATTAACTTGAAAAATGAAATATCTGAAATTGAGGCTGCCCTTCAAGGTATTCGTAAAGAAATGTCTCAGGTTGTGGAAAATATTCCAATGGCACTTAATCGTCTTAGTAGTATAGCCACAACTGCCGCTCATGAAATGAAGGCTCTTAAAGCATCTACGGTAACAGCTACAGCAACTTCTCGTTTTGATGTATGATATAAGTTTCTGTTTAGAAGACTTGAGTATATAAGGTTTGAATACTTTTCTTGAATTTGTGCTTTTTTTTCTTTTTTTTCCTTTATGATGTTCCTTCTTTTTATTATTATTATTATTATTATTATTATTATTATTATTATTATCTGGAATATATACTCTTATTTGGTTATGTTGGAGAATGAGTTTTATTCGTTCTATGTATCTATTGCTATGTGGTATTGTTTATTACTTTTTATGATTACTGTTCTTATGCTTCTCAGAAAGCATATCGTTCTTTATTACCGTACTACTCAAAAGAACAATTTTTGGAAATTTGCACATACGCATTAGGCGAGATATGCATTACTTGATTTTACTATCTCACTGAAAGTTTTCTTAGCATCTCTTTTCTCTGTGTCTAATAATAATTATTATTATTATTGTTGTTATGTATGTATGCAGGGTTGTGTGTTTTATTTTTTTTTTTTTTCTTTTTTTCTCTCTTTGTATTTGGATTTTCACTGTTGTTTTTCAGCAAGTGGGACGAACGTCGGTGTCCTTTGTTGTGGGGTGACTTCTTCAGAAACAAAACCGAAGAACGGGGTAAACTTAAGAAGAGATAATATTGTAGAATATCTCACGACAGTTTTACTGCACCCCAGACTATTCCCAACCCCACCACCCAAGAGAAAGAAATACATATATATATACATAGAAATAAGAAAGTGAAGAAAATAGTAACCAGAAATACAAACTATACGAGAAAAAAAAAAACGATTAGAATAGAGAGTGATCTGTATTAAACAGAGGCAAGAAGGTGAAAGGAGTATAGACAAATGACCGATGTGAATAGTCTTTCTGCACTACACGAGTACACTTCAGCCTTCATTGCGGCGATGCCTCCGGTGCTTCCGAGTCAGACGATGACGCCATCTTCCTTGTTTAAAACTGTGCGAATGGTATCCTCGTCTACAGATGCTGTTGGATCCTATTTGCCTGCCAACAGGGATTCGGCAGTCCGCGGGTCGTGGTCGGTGGTGAAGCCGCGAGCGGACCACTGTGGTGGTGTCTGTTGGGGGCGGGAGGTGGAGGCGGCGGTGCTGCGCCGTGAGATGTCGCTTCGCCGCCAGTTGGACCGCCAGCGCCACGCGGAGGAGCAGCGGCGGCGGCAGGAGAACGCGGAGTTGTTGGCGCGGCACGCAGAGGAGCAGCGGCGGCGGGACTGCGAGTGGGACGGCCGCTTGCAGAAAGTGCTGCGGGAACACATGAAGGAGACACTCGGACTGCGGGAGGAGATTGAACGCGAACAGGAGCTCGTCGCACGGAGTGAGGCACAGCTTACAGAGACGCGGACACAACTCACTCAACTTCATACACAGTTGGAGGAGATGTTGCGGCAAAAAAGGGAGAGTGAGGCTCTTGCACGTGAAGCAGACACTGCATCACTTACAGAGATGCACCAAAAGTCTTTGGAACGACTACAACGCGTTTTTGAAGAAGACAAACTTCAGGCAAAACAGTGGTTTACAGAAGAGCTCCAACGTGTTCAGAGTAATTATGAGAGATTGCGAACAGATGCTGAAGATTCCCACCGCCAACAGCTTCGACGTATGGAGGCGGATATGACGGAGTTACAGCGGCGTCTTCGTGACAGTGAAGCGGAGGTGCAGCAGTACAAGGCTAAAGCAGCCGCCGCAGCAGCAGTTAAACCAGCGTTAACATCTGCAGATGAGGCACGAACACGGGAGGAGATTCGCACCTTACGTACACAGTTGAGTGACGCTCTAGATGCAAAACTTCGTGCAGACCGGCGTGCAACAGAAGCAGAACGGGAGACAAATGAGCGGTTTAAAGCACTGGAAGTACTTCAGATGGAGTTTGATGCCGTTGTGGCACAACATGATAAGGAACAGCGTTCATTACGGGAGGCTAACCAAGATTTAACAGATGAACTTACACGTACACGCACCGCTCATGCCGAGGAGATAGAGAATCTACGAAAGAATGTACGCACCAACGAGAGCGTAACTTCTCGTGAAACGGCAAAAGAGTTCGAAGCAACGTTTCGCCGCATGAATGAACGTTATGATGACATGCGACGGACACTAGAGGAAGAGAAAACACAACTGATGAGACGTCTGAAAGAAGTAGAACAACAGTATGATGATGCAAAAAGGCGACTGCAGTTGCAAATAGAGCAAGTAGAGGAGATGCGGTCTGAGGGGATACGTCAACAGCACCAAAACACAGAAAAAGATCGTCTCATCACAGAGTTGCGTTTAAGCATAGAAGAGTTAAAGCGGACAGGTGGCGCAGTTGCTGACCTTACAGCGCGTAACCGCGAATTACAGCAAGAAATTGAACAGCGTCGTCGACAGCATGAGTCAGCTGTGCAGGCGATGGACAACAACGTACAGGAGCTGCGCCGTGAGCGGGATGCGGCTCAGGGGAAAGTTGCTGCTCTTGTAGAGGAATTATCTACGGCACAACGGTCTTATAGCGAGAAGGAGACACGAAGTAAACAACTTCTAGATGAGGCGGAGTTACGGGAGCGCCAATTGCGTCGTGAAGCCGAGGAGGCAAAACAGAACATAGAATCATTGAAAGAGCACTGCAGTCAGTTGCAAGCCACTGCAGCAGCAGCAGCGGTGTCGGCACCAAAGACACAAAATTTGCTTTATGAAAAAGATAATGAACTGGCACGTTTGCGCAATACTATTGATGCAGTGAAGCATGATAGGGATGTACTGGAGCAAAGACTACGCGAAGAGAGCGTAGTTATCACTAAAAAGGAACAAGAATTGTATGAAAGGCAGGTAATATCAGAACGCTTAAATATGGAAGTTATATCACTACGTGAACAGCTTCAAATGGCTACAAAGTATGCACAATCAGTTGGGAATCGACCTTCTATGCAAGAAGCACAGCATTCTCTCTTAGTAACCAAACCAACGGGAGGATTGCCTTCTGATGAACAACATGCACCGAGAGATACCATTACGAATACACCAGCAGCACCAGTACAGCCATCAACTGGTTCGGCGCCAGCGGTGCCAGTTCCTATGCCAACACAGATGAGAAGCTCTACTCCTTCTGTGCCTAGCGTATCACCAACAGCAGCAGTACAGCCATCAAC